TGGAACTAAGGACAGAATTGCATTCTTTAGTTTTAATAAATTAAATAATTTTATTAGAGTGCAGAAAGACCCCCTTCCACATACAACGAAAAAGAACATTGTATACGAAATTCAATGTAGTGATTGTGATGCTACCTATGTTGGTCAGACAAAGAGAATGTTAAAAACGAGAGTAAACGAACATCGTAGTCATATAATTAGTCATATACGGAGAAATACATTCTCCAGATCTGTTATTACTGACCATAGGTTGCAGCATAATCATAATTTTGAATGGAATAATGTAAAAATTTTGCATAGTGAAAATTTTTACCATAAACGTTTAATATCGGAAATGCTTTATATTAAATCTCAAAATAATGGTCTGAATTTAAAAACTGACACAGAAGGTCTTGATCAGGCATACGCGGATATTTTAGATAAATTGTCAACATCAATTTGACCTAAGCCTTCTCGTTTTGTTATTTTTTAATTTAACGGTTCCTCATTGTATCGTCTTTTACTGTCGAATACGGACGCATATTTATTACAGTCAGTCTTTCTAGTATGATTAAATTGTGAATTTAATTATGAAATAATGTTTTTGTCTACCAACAGAGGTAAGGTTTTAAGGATTTTAGTAATTTTTTGTTTTGTAATAATTTGACTCTAATAGAATTTGTGTTGTTAACGGTCTTTTTCACAGACATTGTTACGTCCGGGTTTTCGTGAGTTTGTTATTCGCGAAGTTCCGAACGCGGCGTGTGGGATCGTAGTGTGCATTGTGAGCACGGATGGTCTCGAGATTTGAGATCGGGCTCGAGCTTTTCCCGGAATTCGAAATATAGACTATAAGTATAGAGTAATGAATTCAGCGACGGAGTCGATCGGGAGATGAAGAGCGACCGTGGGCCGAGCGGAAACGCACGTCGTCTCTCATTCCGATGATAAGAGAAATTCGTAACGCGTATGTTTTAATCATAGCGCGAGAACTAAAGTAAGAATACGCGACTTCTAATCGCGGCGACCAGCGAGTAGCGAATAAAAAAAAAACAACTATCGTCTCGTATAATAGCAGCACTATGGAGACACATCGACGTTGTAGTAGTAGTAGTAGAGAGAGAATTAATATCATCTCGTAAAATTGTAGCACTATAGGGAACCGATAGCGGTATCAGCGTCGTAGTGGTGGGGATGACGTCGATAGTAGAGGGATTACTAATATTTCGTAAAATAGCATCACTATGGGAAGCCGAGCGGCCCATTGGCGTCGTAGCGGTGGGGATGATGTCAGTAGTAGAGGGGGGCGATCATTTCGTAACATAGTCCCACTATGGGGACCCGCCCGTACCACTGGCGCCGTAGTGGAGGGGGTTGGCGCCAGTGACGTCACAGGCAGGTCCCCATAGTGGTACTATACTACTGACGTGTGCTATCGGGACGTGTGCTATCTGGAAAACGTGCGCTCTTTCTCAATATCGGACATCGACGTGTGCTATCGGGACGTGTGCTATCGGGACGTGTGCTATCGGGACGTTTGCTATCGGGACGTGTGCTATCGGGACGTGTGCTATCGGGACGTGAGCTATCGGGCAGTGCGCTATCGGGACATGTGCTATCGGGAAAACGTGCGCTTTTTCTCAATAGCGGACATCGACGTGTGCTATCGGGCAGTGCGCTATCGGGACGTGCGCTATCGGGACGTGCGCTATCGGGACGTGCGCTATCGGGACGTGTGCTATCGGGAAAACGTGCGCTTTTTCTCAATAGCGGACATCGAACGTGTGCTATCGGGACGTGTGCTATCGGGTAGTGCGCTATCGGGAGGTGCGCTATCGGGACGTGCGCTATCGGGACGTGTGCTATCGGGACGTGCGCATCGGGCAGTGCGCTATCGCGACGTGTGCTATCGGGAAAACGTGCGCTTTTTCTCAATAGCGGACGGCGATGTGCGCTATCGGGACGTGCGCTGTCGGGACGTGCTCTATCGGGACGTTCACTATCGGGACGTGCGCTATCGGGATAACACGCGCTTGTGCGCTATCGCTACGTGTGCTATCGGGACGTGTGCTATCGGGAAAATAGGCGTTTTATGACGTGCGCTATCGGGATGAAGCGCGTTTTGTTTCGTGCGCTATCGGGACGTGTGCTAAAGGGACGTGGGCTATCGGGAATTAATTTCAATTTCACGTGTGCTATCGGGACGTGCGCTAACGGGACCCTCCCCATTTATTTAGATTAAAAAATAAAATAATCCCATTTTTACACTGCATTGTAAAATATTAACTTATCAAATGTTTCATTATATCATCATATGTATAAATGACTAGTAAATACGAAAGTATTAATTATATAATTTCAAATACATTTTTTTTTAAATTCCATTACAGGTTCATTGAATAAACGAATTAAAGTTGTTGAGCCTATCGAAAATATTATACAATCTTCAGTATCATCCTCAATAAGATCATCATCATCAGTAATGTGAGTATCATCACCAGTACCATTACCTTCAACTTCTTCAATATCATCACCGGTATCACCATTATCTTCAACAATATCATCATTACTGCCTTCAACTTCTTTAACAATATCAGGCACTAAATTGAATTCTTTTGTAATAAGAACTACGAAGAAACAAAGTAAAGCTATTGATTTCCAAATAGCTAAATTTATATACTGTACAAAGTCATCTTTTCGACATGTCGAACATAAAGAATTTAAAAAAATTATTCATCTTTTACGTCTGGGTTACAAGCTACCAACTCGTCATGACATTGCTAACGAATTATTAGATAAGGTTTATACTACCATAAGACAAACTGTTGAAAACGATTTAAAACATAAAATAGTCTCTGTGGCAATGGATGGCTGGAGTAACGTTCATGTTGAATCATTTGTCTGTGTTTCAGTTACCAACGTATTAACAGGAAATATTCATTTAATTGATACAATTGATACAGGAGTAAATAGACATACTGCAGATTATTTATTAGATTTAGCTGTCATAGCAATTAAAAATTGCCACAAAATTGGTTGCTTTGTTAAAAGTTTTGTAACTGATAACGCAAGTAACATGACAAAAATGAGAAGGTAACTCTCAGAGCGCGAAGATTTAAGTATGCCAGATATAATAACATATTCTAAATTTGTTAGCAAAAGATATAGATGTGCCAAATCTAAAAGATGAAGTAAAGAAAATAATGAAATATTTCTAATATACTCATTTCCCAGCGGCTAAATACAAACAGGCAGGTGGCACATCTCTTAATCTACCTATAGATGTCCGTTGGAATTCCTTATCTGATTGCTTTGAATCGCATTTAAAAAATTGGCCTATTCTTGTAAAAATATGTACAGAAAACCGTGTTGCAATTGATAAAGAAATATATGCCAAAATTGAAAATCTTGATTTTAAAAACAACTTAGAAAAATATTTATTTAAACTACAGAAGATTTTAAATGCCTTAGATAAAGTACAAAATGAAACATGTAATATTGGAGAGGCAACTGGAATATGGATAGACTTATTGAAATGTGTCGAAAAAGAAAACTTTTCTATTTCAGAAATAGAGTGTTTTAAGTCCCGTTTTAATATGGCGATGAAACTATTTCATTTTTTAGCAAATTTATTAGATCACCGTTACAGAGGTGAAAAATTAAGTCAAAATCAAGTAGAAGAAGCATTACAATATGCAGCTGATTATCATCCTCAAGCAATGGCGTTTATAATCTTATATCAAGCACGAAGTTTACCATTCAGACAATATTTATTTTCAAGTCAAAGCATAAATGATGTTAATCCGGTATTATGGTGGTGTGCTCTTAGGGTCAGCATAAACGATACCACGTTTGATTTATGTATGCAACTGCATACAGCTACTGCATCTTCTGCTGGTATCAAAAGGTTATTTTCTGCCTTTGGCTTAGTTCATAGTAAAATACGCAATAGGCTGGGAACAGAGAAAGTGTCTAAACTAGTATCTATTATAAGAACTTTAAATTCGAACAGTTCAATTCTAGAAACTAATTAAAAATACTGCTTATTTTAACCCATTAACCGTTGAATGCACTGGAATTTTTGTATAATAATTAGTCAAACGTTCATCATTTATTTCATGTATCACACCGTCCGCGAGGATTGTATTCGCGGCATGCACGGTCTCGCGTCATGATCGCATGCCTAATTGCTTTCGGCGCGACACGTATCATTGGAGAGGGCGTACAGAGCTCTCGTGTACGCACAGGGGGAGCACGAGTTCGCTTTCCGCTACGAAACAACGAGAATATTCGAGAGCAATTCGACGTGCGACTTCCTTCGCATTACAACGCATTTTTGTATCCCGGTGTATCACAAAGGTACGGTCACAAAGTTAATTAGAAATAAGAGAAAGTCAAATTACTTGTCTCGACCGCATCGCTACCGATAAGGATTACCCGGTGGCACGTGTGACGGGCACATGCTCGTGGCGTCATTCGCCGTTTACGCAACATCGTATTTTTTGGTCCTTCGAGCCGGATACTCTAAGTCATCCGCGTTCACTGGAGATACAACCATCAATAAGTGGAACTTCCATCGCCAAGGAAGGAAGGTATCCCGCCATCCACGAGCAAGGATTCCACGTCGAAGGAAGGAAGGTATCTCGCCGACAACGGCGGAACTTCATCCAAGGGGAAGCAGGAAGGAATCCCGTCGACAACGGCGGAACTTCGTGCGAGGGGAAGGCATTCCGTCTCTGAGGGACGAAACCCCCCGCCATCCTCTACTCATCTCAACGCTCGAGCGCGGCTCATAACCTCAAGGTGTCAGAGCTACGGACCACGAGCTGCATTCTCATCGTCAGCTGCCACCATCATTCAGAGGCACGCCGAGGACAGCACATTCGAGGCCGCTTCCACGAGGAGGTCACCACCGGAAGTCGTCAACAAAAGCGCGGCTGCGCAGTACCGGTAAGGAAAACTGTGCGCGGTAGTGCCGACGAAGTTCCTTGTTACGTCTGTTTCAAGCAGGTTAGCTCGCGATGACGTCTGCGCAAGATATCAGTGTGCTCAAAAAACATAGAGCGATCGTTAAAGGCGCGTGCACGCGGATTCACACATATATCGACGCGATTTCTTTTGCCACTCCGGCTATCGCTGCTCAACTTGAGGAACGTAGAATCAAGTTAGACGAATATTGGTCACAATACAACGCAATACAAGCGGAGATAGAATTGCTTGACGAAAATGAGGGCAATGACCGGATCGGCTTCGAGGAAGCGTATTATTCGCTTTGCGCAAAGATTCGCGAACTTCTTAATCCATTATCAGCTCCGCGGGCGCAACCGACACAACCGTATTCACCGTCTACGTCGAGCGCATTCAATCGATCGGAAAATCATTGCAGTGTTAGATTGCCCAAGTTGAATCTTCCAACGTTTTCCGGCAAATACGATGAATGGTTTCCATTCTACGATTCATTTAATTCAATTATACATTCAAACGCGTCAATCAGTGACGTACAAAAGTTACAATACTTAAAGTCTACACTTACCGGTGACGCGAGTGGCGTAATCAGTGCATTAGAAATTTCCGCCGCAAATTATCAAATAGCATGGGATATTTTAAAGGAGCGTTATGATAACAAACGAATGATTGTTCACACGCACATTAAAGCAATATTAGATTTACCCTCGCTCACCAAGGAAGATTCAACCGAGCTGCGTCGAATCGCGGACGGGGCAATCCGACATGTTCAAGCCCTCAAGGCACTTAAATGTCCCACGGCGCACTGGGACGATCTGTTAGTATACATTCTAACCTCAAAATTCGATCCACGTACATTACGAGAATGGCAGTCCTCTTTAACAGGTACTGAAACTCCCACATTTAAACAATTTAACGATTTTATTTCTCAACATTGTTTGGTGTTAGAGACCACAAACAAGGTCAGTCTCGCTTCCAAGGACACCAACAAAAATTCACAAACCAACGCAAAACGACAATCTACATGTGCAGCAACAGTCAAATCCAAGTGCAACTATTGCAAGGGCGAGCATCCCATGTATTATTGCAAGGAGTTTTTGGCACTGCCAATCAAGCAACGGGCGGTAGAGGTACGCAATCGCAAACTATGCGTCAACTGTCTCCGCTTTCCGATGCATTCATTGGACAAATGCACATCTAGAGGTTGCAAAATTTGCAATATCAAACACAATACGTTGTTGCATACGAGCACCAGCTCGGCGGAGGATCACTCCGGCACTTCCGGCACAGGGGAATCAAGCATACAAAATTCCACGACAGCCGTGACGACACATTCGTCGAACATTCAAGGCAAAGATCACATAATGCTTTCCACAGCTGTGGTCAATGTCATAGCCTCCGATGGCACATCACATTCATGTCGAGCTTTACTAGATTCAGGATCTCAAGCAAGTTTCATTTCTAGACAACTCGCCGCAACTCTTGGTTTACCACTACGCCCGCTAAACGTCACAATATCTGGTGTCAACAGTACCTCATCAAATGCTACAATGGCAACCAAGGTAACACTGCAATCCAGATTAAATTCTTATTGTAGGACGATAGACTGCATAGTAACAGAGCGGATAACCGAGAAGCTTCCACTGACTACTTCAAGGCGTGGAGACTACAACATTCCTTGAAACCTCAAGCTAGCGGACCCCCATTTCAACGTTTCCTCCAAGGTCGACATTTTGATCGGAGCAGAAATATTTTGGGAGCTACTTTGCATAGGACAAATCGAGGCCACTCACAGCCATCCAACTCTACAAAAAACGAGACTAGGATGGATTCTGGCTGGACGTCGCAGCATCACAGCGGCGCCTGCAGAAAACGTGCGAGCATTCACCACAGTCATATCCAATGCTCAACTGCACGATCAACTAACACGGTTCTGGCAAATTGAACATCTCGACAATCAAGTCGTAAACAACAAGGACGATGCTTACTGCGAGGAGCATTTCGAAGCCAACGTGGACCAGAACGAACAGGGCAGATACATAGTAAAACTTCCAATCAAGGAAGAATTAATCGGCAACCTTGGCAACACAAGGGACATCGCATTACGACGCTTACAAGAAACAGAGCGTCGGTTCATACGAGATCCCAACTTAAGGGACCAATATGTCCACTTCATGGACGAATATTTAAAACTAGGACACATGAAGGAAGTCAGCGTGTCTCCACTTGAGGACACAGCATCTTTCTACTTGCCTCATCATGGCGTCTTCAAAGGCGCTAAACAATCATCCAAGATTCGTGTCGTTTTCGACGCTTCAAGTAAGAGCGACACAGGATTATCATTAAACGACGTCTTGAGAGTCGGCCCAGTGGTGCAGCAAGACTTGATGTCAATCGTGATGCGATTCCGCACCTTCGTTCACGCTTTGATCGCAGACATCATAAAAATGTACCGACAGGTGCTCATACACCCTTCGCAAACATCTCTTCAAAGAATTTTGTGGCGCAGCGACTCCAAGGCGGACATCAAAACATACGAACTGATGACAGTGACCTATGGCACATCATCGGCTTCTTTTCTCACAACCAGATGCATCAAACATCTAGCCGATCATCACTCATCCACGTTTCCCATTGGATCAGCGTGTATAAGGCGCGACTTCTACGTCGACGATCTACTGACCGGTGCAGACACCGTCCAAGAAGCGGAGACTCTTCGAGATGAAACGATCAAACTATTAAGGCTAGGCGCATTTGAGCTTGGAAAATGGACTTCCAACACCCCGGAATTGCTGGACGCAACACTCGACAAAAATGACAAACCCGTTGTCATCGACGACGACGAAAGCGCCCACATCTTGGGGATCAAATGGAACGCCAACACAGACACGTTACATTTTTCATACGACCCTGTCATGTCACATGACACAATCTCAAAACGGAAAATTCTATCGGACGTTTCCAAATTATACGATCTACTTGGTCCAATCATCGTCATCGCCAAGTTGATACTACAAGATCTCTGGCGAGCAGGCATCGATTGGGACGAGTCAGTTCCTCAGAACTTACACGACGATGGATTAATCAAAGTTGGAGGTCGATTAAGGCATTCAAATCTAACACAGGACGCGCGTCACCCGGTGCTGCTACCGAAAAACACGAGCTATCAAGACGAATCATCACGCAAGCACATGTACAATGCCGGCACCCAGGCAACGATGGCCGCCGTCCGACAGCAATTTTGGCCTTTATCATTGCGATCTCTAACACGAAAAATCATTTTAAGGTGCGTTAAATGCTTCAAGGTTAAGAATGTTCATTCAGAAACCATTATGAGCTCCTTACCTCCTAGTCGCATCACTGTTTCCCGACCATTCTCGTATTGCGGCGTGGATTACGCCGGTCCGTTAACTCTGCGAGAGGGAAAACGCAGAAACGCGCATACTCACAAAGCATACATCGCCATGTTCGTATGCTTCGCTACCAAAGCGGTACACATAGAACTAGTCAGTGATTTAACCACCGACACGTTTTTAACAGCCTTCAAAAGGTTCATATCGCGCAGAGGAAAGCCTTCCCACATGTGGTCAGACAATGGCACTACTTTCGTAGGTTCCCGTCATCGTTTGCGCGAATTCTCTAATTTTCTCGAAAAAGAGTGCACACAAAATGAAATCCAGTTATTTTTGCGCGAACAGCGAATAACATGGAACTTCATACCACCCAACGCTCCACATTGTGGAGGACTCTGGGAAGCCGCGATAAAATCGGCAAAATTCCATTTATATCTGTTGGAAAGTTGTAATTTTCATCAGGCTAATTGACGATAGATGGCATGATTAATTCATCGAGTAGATGGCACTATCTTTCGATAGTCAGATTAACGAAATTTGAACATCGTTGATGCTCGCCCCTTTTCCTAGCGGACCATGGTGCCGAACGGTTGTGTGTGAGCTGTGTGCGATTGTAAGGCCTTGCAACGATGATCTGATTTCGTTACAGATAAGTTTAATATAAGAAACTGTACTAAAGTATATGCACAAAAGTCATTATTTCTGTAAGATGTTTATTATAAGCGATTTGTTATATTAATGCTTTTGTTGTATTATGCTTATGTAATGATTTATGGTATTCTATTTCCTTCAGAAGTTCATTCATTAAATCTAAACGATTTGATTGATGTGTATTGTCTTTCTTTGATTAAGCTTAATTAGATGAGTTAATACTGCTCATTAAATTTAACAATATCGTATAATCGGCAATGCTCATCTAACTTTCGAAGAGATGCAGACTATTTTGTGCGATGTAGAAGCGATATTAAATTCACGGCCCATCGCTCCATTGAGCGAAGATCCCAATGACCTCGCTTACTTGAGCCCCGGACATTTTCTAATCGGCACTACCGTAGACAGTTTTCCTTGCCACGATTTGAGCGACATAAGCGAAAACAGGCTCGTTCGTTGGCAACGCGTAGAACAATTAAGGCAACATTTCTGGCGACGGTGGAGTTCAGAATACCTCCACACCTTACAAGCGCGTTCGAAATGGAAGATTAGCAAGGGGGATCAATTAAAGATCGGTCAAGTCGTATTGATAAAACAACAGGGGTTACACCCTCTGCATTGGCTGTTAGGGCACGTACAAGGCGTTCATCCAGGCACAGACGGCGTTGTAAGAACCGCTGAAATAAAAACAGCAAAGGGCATTCTTACAAGACCGTTAACTAGAATAGCGATACTACTTATAGATGACTCCAGCGATAAACGCTAGACATCAAATATGTTCTGTTTTTCGCGTACAACTTTATCATGTTATTATACTCAACTTAGGTTAAGCACATCAAAATTGTTTGCGTTTGCACATATCAAGCATGCAGCGTCGCGCATTTTGTCAACTCTCAACGTTAATTCGTTTCAAAGGTTGTTTCACCTTTCGTTCACATTTTGAAAGCGGAGCCTTTCAAGGGCGGCGGCGTTGTATAATATAATTAGTCAAACGTTCATCATTTATTTCATGTATCAGTCACCGTCCGCGAGGATTGTATTTGCGGCATGCACGGTCTCGCGTCATGATCGCATGCCTAATTGCTTTCGGCGCGACACATATCATTGGAGAGGGCGTACAGAGCTCTCGTGTACGCACAGGGGGAGCACGAGTTCGCTTTCCGCTACGAAACAACGAGAATATTCGAGAGCAATTCGACGTGTGACTTCCTTCGCATAATTCGACGTGTGACCTCCTTCGCATCGACACATCTTGTATCTCCGTGTGAAACAACAAGTTAATTTGTAATAAGTGTAAATCGTTGAAATCTCGTTCTTCGTTTACGCAACAAATAATTTACATTAAAAAATTCTCTTTTTTATGTAGAAAAAAAAACAATTAGATTTTTTAATTCTTTAATTTGGCAATTTTTGGATAAAATCTGATTATCTGGCTTATTCGGTTTTGGTGGATATAATTTAGTATCCGATTTTTTTTTATCCGACAAACCCCATTATCAGTTGCATTCCTAGTTATAACTTTGTTGAAAAAATATAAAAAATTTGAGGAAAACGGAGATATACCATTACCTTTTGTGATGTTGAATTTTCTTTTTTTTCATTATTAAAATGATAATTCTTCCTCCAGTAATTTAAAAAGATAATTCTGTACCGAATAATTGGTATTAATTCCGTAATCATTTTTTCATTTAAATCTTTTAGAATATTTTCACCAATTTCGTGTTCTAAAAAGTTGAAGAATTAGAACATAATTTTCATCATATATTAAGTATAGCATGTATAGAATATACATATAATTTTGATGTGACTTATATCTATTTAATTTGCTGCACTGGTGAGTGTCTCATTAATCCTTTCAGTTTTTGTGTTACTAATAATTTGTTTATTGATAAATTTTATTTAATAGTTGTCAATTAATCACCAAAAAACCAATTAATTTTTTGTCTAATGGAGATGATGTGTTGCTACACCTGTGCAGCTAATTGATGACCATCCTACATGGAGTTTGAAGGGGTATTGTTTATATCATTGAAAATGGCTCAAAGAGTAGCCGAAACGTTTGAGTAAATTTATAATTATATTGTAATAAAGAATTTTAAACTCGCACTAACTACCGCAGTTATTGACTCTCATTAGCCTGTTTGTTTATTGTTATTGACATTCTCGAGAGTTCTATTTTTGATTGAAATACATATAATTCACTTAAATTAATAGAAAATCTTGTTTAAAATCAAATGTCTGTCAATTTGTAATTTTTAAAGCGTTTTATTAAATTTAAAAAATTGAATATTGTTCGATAGATTTACTTGGCTCTTTGCCCTTCTTATATTTGTATCGTTTATATATTAGTAGATTATAAAAATTAATTTATTATATTAATTCATAATTAATTAATTTTATTGAAAATAGCATTTAAAATAGAAAATGATGATGTCGTGTTTTGCACTAAATTTCGGATTCTTAAATTGATCGAGGATATACACATATATTATATGCGAATACAAAAAATTTTATAAGCGTGTCGAAATAACGAGTGTATCGAACGAATATATATAAACAACTGCTGTCCGAGTCGACCTTCTATTGTCGATAGCTAGATCGTTGCCGAGCCGCGCTTGTGTTGTCGTTCATGTTATAGGCGTAGATATAAATACATGACAAAAAGTAAGAAAAAAGAACAAAGAATAAAATAAGAACTTACTTTTGAAATTTTCGATGACACTTTCCAATTTTAAATTTTTTAAAATTTCTTTCATTTTCGAATCCATTCTTATATGAAAATTTGTTTATTTGCTTGTGTTGTATGCCTTGCTATAAAAAACAACTAGTCTGATGCTGAATAAGTTGACGACTCATCGGAATTTGATGATTGGCATGCTGAAGATTGTAAAAAAGAATCATGATAGAACGAATGCTGAAGAATTCTGAAAACGTTCTTTCGAATATGATTTTCGATACAAGAAAATGCTCTCCGATTGAGATAGAAAAAAAATTCAACCACCCTACGAACCTAAATGTTTATGCTGCAGGACATAAAATTGCCAAAGAATGTCCTTCAGAATTGTCATACGTGTTCTTGGGTACTGAAAAAATATATTTCTAAGCCAAAAAAAAAATGTTTTTCAATTAATTTGTGACTTCAGTAGATTGAAATTCCTTAAGTTCAATCTTAAAAATCTATCTTCTCTTACAATTCTCAATATTTTCTCATGGTAATTTTTTTATATGATCTTCTCAACATTTCGAATAATCTCTCGTATGCATTTGACAATATCTTTTACGATTGAAAAAATAAAATTTTTTTTTCAGTGAAAAATTCGAATTTTTTTTTTATAACAATCTGGTATGTTTTTGACCACAAAATCGACAAAGAATAAAAATACGAGCACCTTCAGTCATTAGAATTTCGAGGGGTCAAAATGAGACAGGTGCCTCCCCTTAATCTGCATCTCATATGAAGAATATACTGCTTTATCGAACAAATTATCGAACAAGAAATTATTAAAAGAGAATTTAACGCTCCCATCGCACAACGCCCAATTTTTCAGCTGAATCATTTCAGGTCCCACGAGAACCATCTAAAGTACTTCAAAATTTCAAATCTATTACATTTCTTACAACAAGGATCTTAATTTCATAATACATAAGTTTTGAAAATTCTAAGAAATTTCCTACAACCAATAGCATTCTACTTTCCGTCAAAGAGCAGGAGTGTGATACGCATTTCGAAACCACTGCAAAGGAACCGTTTCAGGTTAATCACGAATGTTTTCTTGAATAAAATAAATTTCATACCGTGAAAATTACAAAAGCATTGTGGCTGTTGAGCTAGTTACATTCTTCCTTCAAATCTAGACAGTACTCGTCCACCAACCTTGGAAAGCTGGCTTGTTGGTTCGGACGATCTGAAGGATTTTCAGCACACGTTCTCAAATAGTATCAATAACGATTCACGACATACGCATTCCTTTCTCTCAAGCCGGCTAGACCAGATAAATACACCCAGAACATTGAACTTATCAATGAATTTTATGGACAGACATCTTTAAGAATCAAATTCGAGATCACCAACTTTCAACTGTAACTTAAGGCATAGCGCTTTCTCCATTCTTAACATTTCGAACTATAATACAATTAATTCAAGATGCAGGACATAAGTTTTCGGAAGCTATTTCCACAATAACAAGAGTAGAAATGTTAATGGTACTTTGGTAGTGCTTACTCTATAGAAAAGGCTCAAATTATCGTACATTAGGTAAATCAACCTTGCATGGCGGGCGGCTTCTGCTTACAAGTGAGCAACAAAATTCTTCTGAAGTATTAGATCTCATTCGAAAACAACCTCAACTACAACCGTTTAATAGTAATCAAAGATGATTCCATCGTTCATTCATTTGGTCTATATCTTGACAACCTTTACTGTCTATATATTTTGAGCGGGGAAGATCGATCGATCCCTCGAAATCGAGGGGTTCCCTTACGGCTGGTTTTCGCTTCCCTTTAGGTCTGTTGCCAAAATATTAGCGATTCTTGATGATCGACGGCTCCGTGCGCCGTCTCACATCGCAGGCGACAACAAACATATGTTTGTCGCAGCGATGAATATTTAAACGTAGTCCGATTGAATAAATAAAACGTAATCTGTTTCTGATCTGATATCAATAGATATATGCTATCCTTTACTTGCACTCATCCAAAGTTATCGAACAACCAATGATGATATTAAAATACGGTATTAAAAACAAGCAGCAAATTAAAGATGACAAAATTATTCTATAAATTAAAAATAGAGAAACGTTTCAACTTTTAAATAAATCCTC